TTTTTTTTTCTTTCTTCTTTCTATTGCTTTGCTATTGTGAAGTTTAAAAATTAATTGCCCTTCCTCCCCCTAAGATGATGTCATGCTTCGTCATGCAAAGGGAGATAATATTTGGGGTTCACTTAATTTTGCTTCTCTTTGTGGTTATTACACCAAGTTGCGATGCGTTAAATGTTATTCCAAGAAGATATAAAGTTGTCCAACGAGCTGCGCGTGATGGAACAACACGATCCATTACTTTTCTTTCTTCGGGTTATTCTGCAAAAAGCGTTGATGTTTTTAATAATAATGTAAAATCATGTGTTGATGCCTTGTACGGCAAAGATCCTACTGTCTCAGCAGCTCCATGGAATCGTTATGTGAGTTTGTTGAATATATATTCTGTATTTCAGGCATCTGAAGAAAATGATGTGATTGACTCACTTGGGACACATCAAGAATGTAATGATCCTACAAAATGTAATAAAAATATTGCAGAAAATAATCTTGGATGTACTTTTGGTATTCCAGATCCATCTGTTATTAGTTGTAATCTTAGCGCTGTATTCACATTAGCCACTGTTGCCCCTGTTAGCGATCTTATTGTGGTATTAGTAAATAAACCTAATAATATAAGCAGTACAAGTGGAAATTCTCTTGCAGTATTTACAAATGAACCATCATTTTTGCCTTTTTTTGCTATTCGTGAACTGAGCAAAGCTATTGCTAATTTGAGTAGTGAATATAATCATGGTATAAATGAGGCTTCACATGTATCTATACCGAATTGTGTTCCTTCTTTGAATGAAGCTCATCAAGAGTGGGGATATTGGATGACACGAGGAGAAATCAGTGAAACACCAACACAAGGATGTTTTTTTAATAATTATTATCGTCCTACGGAGAATGGTTGCATTATGCGAAATTCTACCCTTAAAGGTATGTGTCCTATCTGTAAGGAACAAGTAAATCTCAGTCTATTAAAGGACAAGAAAGGTATTTCCCTATCTGCTGGACGATGTCCTAAAGAAGATTCTTTAGTACATGTAGATGTTTCTCAAGATCTTCAACTCACTGTTGGAGATATTGGAGTACAAGATGATGTAATAGTGATATGGCGAGATGAAAATGGAACTATCATAAATAATAACTTTGGCAAAAATAATGCTTCTCTTTTGGTACCTCAAAGTTCATTGATAACATGGACATTTCCAAGAAAAATAATTGTCAGTATTGAAGATAATTCTCCATATGTTCGTCCAGAGAAACGTACAGAATTATTTAAAAGAAAAACAACTTTTTATCTTGTTTCTTTATTACCAAATACATGTAATATTACAAAATGTGGATTATTTAGTACATGTACATCATGCAGTGGTTCTAATTGTTCTCTAGATATTCCTCCAAAAAGACAAGAGATACATTGGGATACTAATTATTTTAATAGACCATCTACAATTAGTTATCGAATTGTCGCTTCAGTAATTAGTACAACTGCTGTTTTTTTGGTAGCTCTTGTCTTTTTATTCTATTACTTTTGTTATTATAAACGTCCACATGAAGTTATTTCTCCACAATTTATGGATTATTTATTATGTGGAGGTATTTTTATTATTTCATTTATTTTATTGGGCTTATCAACTTATATATTGGTAGTGATTACCCTTTTTTTCGAAGCTTATGTAGTGGTATGGCGACGTTGGATTATTCCATCTACTCTAACTGGAGCTCTTATTTACGTTATGGCTATAGCCAATTTGGGGTTTATGCTTTTTAGATGCTTTAAACCTATAAAGCTTTTTAGTATTATAATGTTTTGTATTGGAATAGTTCTTATAGCCGTTGGTCTCTTTTTGGGATGGACACACTTGCATCGAAATGAAGATAATTTAATTAGTTATGTGGCTTCTTCTTGGTTAGAGGCTGTAAAAGAAACGTCTTCTGTGGTACATAGAGTTCAATCACAATTAAAGTGCAGTGGATTCTTTGTAAGCTGTCTTGAAGTAAGAAGTTCTTACTGTCCCAAAGATAGTGAAAGTAATATGTATGTAAATTCGTGTAAAACTCCTTTTATGAATCTTATTGCCTCTACCTATGTGCAATTAAGTGCCATTAGTCTTGCTACGGGTATCTTATTAATAGGAATGGCGGCAATCAATATCATTTTTTTTCTACGTTTCTCACTTCTTGTGATCTCCGCACGTGAGCGCCGCAGTCACCGCACGGAGCCCAACGCCCTAACGCTCCCTTTCACCTTTCAGGAGGTGTCGGAGGCCCGGCGGCTCTTCAACGCCATCACCACGAAAACAAATCGCACACTTGAGGGAACTCGCGCGGTGGAATTTCTTCAGCGGGTTTTCGCGGCGGACCTCAAAGACGCAGAGATTGCCCGCGTGGAGTCCAGCGGTCCACTCTCCTTTGAGGCTCTCATGGCCCTTCACTTCCCTTATGTTGATCCCACACGCATAGATCCACGGCAGTTGACACCGGATGAGATCTTTGAGGAACGCGGTGTGGTGGGAAAACAACAGAGACAGTATAGTAAATTACAGGCTTTTGCCAGCGCCTCCGGTACACTAGCTCCAGCTACACTTTTTCAAATTTATCAGAAACATGTAAAAGAGAATTTTATTACTGATCAAGAGAAGTTTCTCACCATACTACGAGAGGAAGCCATAAAAAACTGCCCAGATGCTCCTCTATGTAATGGGTTGGGGGCATTGGAGTTGGAAGGTTTGCGAAATGTTTGGGTGCAACTTAATCCAGCTATACTGGGAGATTTGAGCAATGAACAGATTGATGTGTTTTACCAGTGGACACACGGTGAACCCCTTCGTGATGCTGCTCATTTTAGAGAGTGGAAAAGATCCTTGGATGTTCGTAATCGAGGAGCTATTGGTTGGGGAGAATTTTGTTATCCTTTTGCAAAACGGGCACGTCTTCGAAAGGCTCGTGAATATTTGAGTAGTCTTGGAAAAGAAATACCCCCAGAGATGGTCTCCAGAAGTCTTGTAGAGAAGAATTATGGATCTACTGCAGTGGAGTCTGTTTTTATGATTTACGAAAATGAAGTACCAATTGAACGCCTTGTTGAATATTTCCTACAGTATAGGGAAGCTGAACTGAAAAAGAACAGATGAAAGTGAGGTGTAGTTTTTATTACTCCATAACTTTCTTTGTAGGTATGAGTGTGGGTGTTGAGGTGGTGTCTTCTGTGGGCGTATGCATTTTTTTTTTTTTTTTTTTTCGTTTTTCTTATTACACTTGCTTTCTTATATACATAGATATATTCTTCGTATGGATGTATCTGTGTACATACATTACTTAGGTACATACATACATACTTTTTATTACTATTATTATTGATTATATGACGACTTCGTTGCACTCAAAAAGAGGGACAAAGGTGCTCCTGATGGTGCATTTGATTTCTAAGTTTCTCTTTTTTTTTCGTTTCCTTGCAATTCTTTTTTTTTCTTTTCTTTTTTGAAGAACGTTGCCCTTTTTATGTTTATATTGTTTTTTTTTTTTTTTTGAATAGCTGATTCATTGTAATTCTTCTTATTCAATTTTTCTTTTTTTTCCTCTACTCTATTTTGCTTTATCTTGACGTGATAAATGGGATTTCTAGTATGGAATTTGGTTATCTGTGCGTAAAGTAACCTTTTTTTTTTTGTAATCTTTTGATATTCACAGTTGATATCCTACTATGATTGTTTTCTTTTTTTTTCTCTATCTATCTATCTGTGTGATATAATTCTTCTTTATTATTATTATTATTATTATTATTATTATTATTATTATTATTATTATTATT